GTGAGAAAAAAAAAAGGAGGCGACCTACACACAATGATGGAAGACATGGTTAAGTTCCCCAAAGCTTGTTGACCTAAATTTCAAATACAATCCGTCACGATTTGCGTCAGAGTGGCGGGGGTTTTTCAACTATTTCCTGTTTTTATGAACCCCCCATCCTCCCAAGAGCTCCTTTTTCGTGAACCAGATTCACTCAATCTCAGGACTGGACACACTTTAGAAACTGTCTCAAGTAATGATGTCCAGAACTTAACCCTATCCGTACGCCCTGGGGTCATTTTGTACCCCCGGGGTTGTATTCTTCACATTTTAGAATACTTCTAGTACGAATATCTCTTTGAAACTTTCAGTATTTCTCAAACAATCGTTTTAACGGACTGTTATGCAAAGCGTACGGATAGGATTAACAAGTAAATTTCCTCTTTGGAAAGTGGAGGCACAAAGTTCAGCATGTCGTATGGATACGATAGTAAAACATTATCCTTAAAGGGGAAGATGTCCAGCTGAGCGTACAGTTCGTCCTATCTGTGGGATGCGTCCTTCATGATTGAATGGGCATTATTGTGTCGATGTACTTCTCGTTACTCAACAACAACAACAACAACAACAACAACAACAACAACAACAACAACAACAAAGCAGCAACAACAACAACAACAACAGCAGCAACAACAACACTCCCATAGTTTTCACTCTGTGTTGGATCAACATGGGGGAAGCCGTGACTTCTGTTGCGAAAGACAATTTGTAACTTATTTTAAGAAGGGAGACGTCAAATAGACTTTCACCCCCTTGTGCCCTATTTTAAGAGAATATGCCCGAGGAAAGATGAGAAAAAAACTTAAAGTTGGGACCTTTGCAGGGTTCCCTTCCAGTCTTTGCGTGCCTGCATGAGAAAAACGAGCAAAGTTTAAAGTGTGAAAACGTGCGTAAGTAGTGTGCGAGGCCGTGGAAGAGTTTTTTACAGCACGGCTTCAGTGTTTGTCTGAGACTCAACAAGCTAACAGGGGGCCCGGTCTTAACGTGACGGGTATTTATTATAGTCCATAAAAGCTTTTTTCCCTCTGGTAACATTTGATTCACGGATTATGCGGTAGTCACTATGAAAGAGCTTGCGTTCTTGTGAGAGATGGTAGGACGAACAAAGGCGAACATTTGGAGATGGTAAGAGGGAAGAAGCAAGACGTGTTCAGGGTTTGAAATGAAAGAGATGCTGGGGTTGGTTTTTTCTTTTAAAAAGTTGTATGTGTGTTTGGGG